GGGTAAAAAAACCATTTTGGGGAGAGAGAGTCAAGCGTTAGGAGCCTGATTTTTGCATTTCCTTTAGGCCCCGAGGGCGGGGGGAGCCCCGGGGGGAACAGTCAGCAGCCCCTGCCCCGCGGGGAGCCGGCGCTAGGAGCTCTGCACCAGGCGCCTGTAGTGCGGCATCACCTCGTGCTCGGGGAGGTGCAGGGCGAACTCCAAGGCCACCAGCACGGGGAACTCGAAGGCGATCAGCTCCCGCCTGTTCAGCCGGAACTTCTCTTCCAGTTTCTGTAAGGGGAGGAAGAGCTGGTGAGAGCCAGGCCCTGGGGGTGACCTCAGTGCTCCCGGAGAGGGCGAAGCGCCCGCGCAGCTCCGCCCGGCCGGGCTCGGGGGCTCTGGGTTTAGGAAGTTGATGCAGCGACTCCTCAGGCTGAAGGGGAGCCTAGAAAGCTCAGTTCCTCAGGCCACTCCTGCCCTGGCACTGCACCCCTTCCATCCCCAGCAGATGCACCTCCTGCTGACCACTACCCCTGCAGGCAGAGGAGACCCCTGGCTTCAGTCCCCTGTGTAATGGGAGATGTTCAGCTCCTAACGAGCTGCCCACGTGCTTCCTGCACTGCCCCAAATCATTCCTTGTCCTTTCAGCACCAGACTCGTGTTCAAACAAACACCCTATTGGGGAAATTATCCCTGCTACAATTAGATATATTTGATCTTAATACCTGAGGGGCAGAAGGTGTCATCTGCAACAAGAACAGTGAGTAATACAAACGACCATCCTCCAGCAGGATGAGATGGGTTTCACAGCTGGCTTTAACACTCCAAACCTCCCGTCTGCTCTGCTCTTTGCACTGGATTTGGATGCCATCAGCTGCTCAGGGATATTCCCTCCCTCTCACCACCTTCTTACAATCTCCCTGGCTTGCTGTTCCTCTGCTCGTTGGGTCTACTCCCTGTGTCTTTAAGAGGCACCAGTGTTTCAGGATGGTGAGAGAGGACAGATCATCCATATCCCACTGGGCTGACTTTTTTTCTGGTTATTCAGAGGGCTTTCTACCAAGCTGACTGCTGACCCAGCTCTGCGACTGTGGCAGGAGAGCATGAGTCCAGTCCTGACCCAAAACTAGTTCCCATGTCTCTTGAACTAGATGAGTTGGTTGGATCCACATACCCAGCTACCTGCCTCATTTTCTGTAGCTTTGTGTCAGACTGGTAGCTCAGTGCTTGCAAAAGATTATGGAATAACAGCCCCCTCTGTTAACTCTTTCATCTGGAGTAAGTGGAAGACCAAACACCTTGCTCTAGAAAAAACCAGCTGAGGTGAGGTGTTGGAAGGGGAACATTTCCTTAGGGTTCCCTGCCCAAAAGCTTAACTTGATGAAAGAAATACACTCCCTAGTCTTTCAGAGGCCCTCTGAAAGTAGCAACTCCATCATTTTATTTTTTTACTTATTTTTAATTCATTTACCTCCCAAAGGAGGGTCCTTCCTGACACTCTTAAAAACCCAACAAAATGCAAACTGCTTTTCCTGAGTGTTAACTTCTGACTTGCATTGACAGAACGCTGGTCAGGGGCCTCTCAGACCTCACAGTACCTGGCACCCCATCAAATGAGCTTCCCACCCCCCTGCAGGGACACTGATCCCTGTTCTATCACATAGATGTGTGGCAAAAAAAGGCACTGAGCTGGCTGTGCAGCTGGGAACCTGGAGGAGAAGAGTGTGACCAGTGACAAGCTGTCTGTGCAGACCACACCCTGGCACTTCAGGCAGAAGGAACACCAGAAACCTTTGGATACGTACATCTATAAGATGCTTGACTTCATGTTTTCTGAGGTCACTGCCAATTTTGGCTGCTAAAAGAACACAGGCTCCAGCACAAAGCTTTCTGTTCTGCTTGTTCAGCTTCCCCTTGAGAGCAAGCTTCTCAAAGTAGACAAAGGCCATGGCCACCGTGGGCTCTTCAAAACCACACTCCTCTTGAGCAAGCTTCCTCATTTCTCTCTTCAAGCTGAGTAGAGACCAGACAAACAAGCTGTGAGCTGCATTATAAAGCACCTCTCACCTCACCCTAACTCATCCTTCCAGAGGTCCCTGCTTAGCCAAATGGAGGGGAAAGGGAAGATGGAATTTACTGGGGGCAGGTATCCTGATGCTCTGGTTTGGGGACACATTTCCCAGCACATTTTGACCTCACCCTTCCCACTCACTGCCCCCAAGAGTAGTTGTGTCCAACTATAAAAGCAGCTGAAAACCTTTGACATTTTTAGCAATGATATCTCATCCTGAGTCTCAGGCTGCACAGAGTTTCTTTAGCCATGACAAAGTGTGGCTGGGTTGTGCTCCATCTGCAGCTCTGCTTGGTTAAAGCCCAACCAAGAGTTCTCCCATGTCCTGCAGCACCCTCTGGTCACCCAGCAGGACTCAATACCCTCCTGGCCACTTCAGTCACAGGAAATGCTTGTTCCTGAAAGGGGAGGCTGCAGCCTCACCAAGCTTGGCAACATACCTTCTTATTTTACTGAGGGTCAGCTTGATGTGAGGGAACTTCTCCTTGAAAGTCTCGTTCATGTCCTTCTTGAGATCCGATGGCTTCACGTAGTCTATGACTGTGGTCTGTAGGAACAAGGAAGAATTGCTCTTTTAGGCTGTAACAGAACAGGATCACCCAACTCCCCAAAGCAAGGGATAAGGAACAAGTGCCAGCCAGTCCCAGTGAGGGGAAGACTCGGTCTGATTTAAGGCAACCACTTGTTTGTGACTGTTCCATCAGAATAAGGGATCTGAAACCCAAGGGGAGCATTCAGCACGAGCCCTGAACCACACACACCTTATCAGGGTCCTCCAAGTGTTGCTGAGAGTGAAATGGAGGTGGGTAAAACCTAGCTGAGAAGCCTTGTTAAACCCAAACAAATCACCATAAAATAAATCATCACAGTGGTTGGATGATCAGATTTTGTGTGCTTATCCCCCTGTCATTCTGGGAAATACTGTTTCTCTCAAGTTGATCCCTCAGAGGAACCACTGGTACAAATTCTTGACTTGGATGATCAGATTTTGTGTGCTTATCTCCATGTGATTCTGGGAAATATTCTCTCAAGTTGATCCTTCAAAGGAACCACTGGTACAAATTCTGGAGTGACACAGGATATAACTGTGATAAAACAGGTAATTAGCCAAATAACAATGCCATAGAGTGCAGGACAGTGATGCTGTCATGTGCTGTGCAGCAAGTGGGCAGAAAGATGAGTTACACAGCATCCACAGTGTACACTCCTTCTCCTTTACACTGAGAGTTCTGTTCCATTTTGTCACAACCTGAAGAGTTCCCCCCAGCAGCAGAGGCCCCCCCCAGCCCCCCAGCTCCCAGTCAGATCCAAGCAGGAGCACTGGGAGGGCAGCAGTCTGCAGTGCAGTGCACTCTACTGCCAGCAAAATATTTCCCCCCCCTCTAATTCCTCTTTATCCTTGACCTGCATCATGGCAAAGGGCTGTTAACACTAAACAAGAGGTGGAAACAGGCATGTAGAACACTTGTGGCAGGTTATGCTTCTACAGAAGATGGAGCTTTGCTGTATTAGATCCTCAGAGGAGTCTAAATCAGCCAAAAAGACTCACTGTATATGCTTACAGGCTTTTTCCAGTGATTAAAATGGAAGGGCTTGGGGAGGAGAGTAACTGCTCCAGAAAGCCATCAGACAACTCCTTCCCACAGAACAGTTTAGGCTGGAAAAGACCTTTAAAGATCATCAAGTCCAAGCATTAACCCAACTCTACCAAGCCCACTGCTAAAGCAGCTACACATCTTTTAAACACCTCCAGGGATGGTGATTCAACCACTCCCCTGGGCAGCCTGTTCCACTGTCACCTGATCCTGTCCATGGGTCAGAAACGAGCAGGAGGGGGAGTAAAACAGACCTGACTTGTCCAGCAAGTTATTTAGGAGCTACAGCACTGAAATAATGGCTAATGATAGGGATTGAAGAGAAGGCAGAGTGTGTGTTTCCCCAGAACAGTGCACAGCAGTATTTGAGGTAAACATGCTGGAATGAAGAGTTAAAAATCAGCTTCTTGGCACAGGGTGCTGTGACAGCCAGAGACACACTTGGAAACTTGGGTGATTCTGGTGTCTGACCTGCAGGGAGAGAAGCATCACCTGTCCAGGGGAGTTGCTCTGGCAGGTAATTCTGCTGGGCACAGCACAGACAACAGTTTCCTGCTGTTTTCTTCAGTGTAAATCTCCACAAGCCCCCTCTGACACAGCTACATTTAAGCAGCAGCCCAAATTTTGCTAAAATTAATGGGAGGATTTATTAAGGAAAGTCTGTCCTCTGAAGGAAAGCTGCCAGCTATTCCTTTGGGTTTGCTGACAGAGGATCCTCAGCAAGTTGGGTCCCTGCTACTCCTTATTACTTACAAAGTCAAGAGCCACTAGCACATAAAGTTTTCCTGCCATTCCTTCAGAGATTATTTTAGGCAATACCAGCAGTTTTGGTTGTCTTGGTCCATCCTAGAAAGAGTGAGCTCAGTGCCAAGTTCCAGGACACCTCATTTCCTGCTTTTAGAAAAGCTCTTTTTGAAAATTTAATTTCAAAGATTCTTTAGCCAAGCACTCAGAGGCTTGAGAATGTTCAGATGCCTCAAAACTGGGAATGGGAAGGAGGTACAGCTATTTTTAAACACTGGGATTTGTCCGTTTTGTCCCGTTGATAAGAATCTCACCCCTCCTCCCCAACTCCAAATGCTCCTGCTTCCTGTGAGACAACAGCCTCTGCAGTATAAATCACAATAATGCAATCCAGCTGAAAGCTGGTGTGTGCTGGTTTTGGGTCATGTAACAGGATAATGGCAACGTGTTTGAACACACTGGCTCCAAGGCAGCTGTCTCATCTTGTCAGTGCCACGCTGGGGAGCTCAGCTCCCTGAGCTTATGCTCAAGAGAAGGAATTGTGCAACTTCTTTGCTTTGTTTTGGGTTTTTTTTTTCCCCCTTGGTTTTATTTTTTCCATAGCAGCCCAACTCTGCCTGAGCAGTGGGATGCTGTCTGCCCAGCTGGTGCCTTTGGAGTGTGTGTGTGGGACCCTGTCCACAAGAAGAAGTCCAGAACAATTCTGGCATTGCCTGAGTGGAAGCACCATTCAGCATCAACAGCCCAAATTTTAGGAAGGGTTTGTCAGCATGAGGAGCACAACATCCCTCTATCTCAGCAGCCTTTGTTGTGCATCATGAAACCCTGTGCCAGGCAGGCACTCTGCACTCCCAAAGCTGCCAGACACCCCAGCAAGGCACTGGGAACCACCAAACTGCCCCTCTCACACTCCAATCTCAAACTTTTCTGTCACCCAGAAACATCTCCCTTGCTCCTCACTTTATTTGCAGTAACCCATTCAGCAAAACCTCTGTGAGCTCTGTTCCTGTTCCCTGGGCACAGATCTGTGTAGGGGTATTCTACCTTGGTGATGGAATCTGCACAAGAAAAATGAAACCCTTGGTCTATGGTGGCTGACAGATGCCTGGACAACAGGATGAGTGCTCTGGCTCAGGTCTGTGCCCTGCACACTCCCTGCAGGGCTGAGCTTTGAACCTGGAGACTGGCTTGTGTGTTCCTCACAAGTGTTTTCAGGCAGCTGCTTTCTCACAGGAAAGTTGCATATATAGTTCCATAAACATGGGAGGAGGGAGGATGCCTGGAATGGTTGGAGAGACTGGCAAGAGGAGATATTGTTGAAAATAAATTCAGCTCTGGCAAGCTACCAGTAAAAGATGATCTAGTCTTGGATGCCTCTGTCTCCTGCTTAAGAAAGATAAAATCAGAATAAAATAGGTGAATAAAATGACAGGCTCACTTCAGCTGTCAGTACTGTGTGCCCTCTGAGAAATCTGCTTCAGAGGGAGCAGAGAGAAGACTGAGCCCTCTAACAGGCTTTGGGTAGGTCAGTGGTGAGTTCTCAGCCACAAAACTGAAGTCAAAGGCTCTGCACTGCACACCACAGCTGCCCAGATGTGCAGCTGTAAACTGCCAGTGACCTAACGCACAGATTGGTGGCTGAAGAAGAATATATAGATGGGAAATCCTGCTACAGAGGCTTAGAACAGTGGTAGAAAATGGGAAAGATTCTCTCTTTATAATAAAAAAAAAGGAAAATGAAGACTAAAAGTTGTTTCTGTTGTTAGAAAGTTATTAACACTCAAGGGTTTTCAAGTGAAAGATTTAGAACTTCACAAAGTGAGTAATCTCAGGGCTGCCTCTTTGAGTTAAAGTCTATGGAAGGATGCCAGTTTATTTTATATGGTTAACACTGAAATAATTCTTAACTAATACAGCTTGTCATTGCTACAAAACCTGAGCTCATTGGAGCCTTGGCCCAACAGAGCATCGAATGCACACAGCACAGGGCTTAGACATGACCATGTGCCACCACTGGGACCCTCTGCTCCATGAGGCTTTGGGGTAGGAGGTCAGCAGCTGATAAAAGAGCAGTTTGGAGATGGTCCATGTACAGCTGGGGAAGCTGCTCCTGCAAGAGGCTGGGAGCACTGGGGGAGGCTGGCTGTGGCAGAGTGCTCCTGACCTTGCTGCTCCTGGTGAAAGGCAGCAGGGTGGAGCAGGAGGCTGTGCTCCATCATGCTGCAGGGCTCCTGTCAGGCTCCACGGGCAGAGCAGAGAGCAGTTCTCATTTTAAAGTCACACTGGGGGACTAACATTTCAGCAGGCAGGCTGGCTGGGCTCAGCAGAGGGCCCGGAGCTCCCCCAGGAGCACTGCAGGGCTCTGGGATGTGCTTTTCCTCTGCTCCTGGGGCAGAGCTGCCCAGTTCTTTTGAGATCCTTAAAGCAACGTGCTGAAAGTGGAGTTAAGGACCCAAACCAATTTGCAAGTGTGTCCCTTGGGCGTGACAGATATGGCAGGGATGTCATTGCAGGAGGGTCACTCAAAGACAATATGCTGATCTGGGCTCTTCTTCTTCTGCTGCAGGTTTGGGCAGTTCCCAGCTCCTGTGGTTTTGCTCTACCACCAAAAGCAGGACAGTGGCATCAGCCTCACGCCTGTAGCAGAGTGAGTTTTTTCCTTTTTCATGGAAGGAGTTTGTTTCTGATGGCAAGAGGAAGGTCAGGGAGGCACCCACCAGCCTGGACGTGCACTGGCTGACGTGAGGCTCTAGCAAAACTACTGCTCTGGCTGGCAGATAAAGTTCCTATTCTGGAGAGATTTAAGGATCTGCAAGGATTCCTGTTTTAGCAGTATCAGCCAGGAAGACATCTGTTAACCATGACATGATGTTTTCCTCCTCCCCCTGCCCCACAGCATGAAATTCTTCTACCTCTGACTGTTTATGTTGCTGTAGAGATTGTAGACTCTCCTACGAAGGCAAGCAAAATAATTCTCCAGGGTGAACTAGAACTTAAATAGGACTATTACAATTAAGAGAAGCTGTAGAGTTTGTCTTAGGGAAGTATTGAAGCTGCTTTTTAACAATTGTCCAGACTGTTTGTGGTATTACTTTCAGAGCTGTGACAGGGAGGTGTGTACACCCTTTCAAGCCAGGAACTTCACTGCAAAAAAACAAGACAAAAAGGAAAGCACTTCTCCTTCCCCACAGCCATCTCCACGAAGGGAGCTTGGCTACTCCTTGAAAACAACCAAGGACTTGCAGTTAAAAAACTCCTGCAAGTCAGGACTGATTCAGCTCAGTAGAATTACAGGACTCTGAAGTCAATGTCAGTGATGGGAAACTCAGGCTCCCCAAGAGCAGGGGGAACCGCCTGTGTTTTGGAGTAAACTCCACCCCACATTTTGTCCTCCCTATGCTTCAGGAGGAAGCCTGCAGAGCTCACTGCTGCAGCATTCACAGAGGCACTCGTGGAGACAACCTTCCCTCTGCCAAGCACCAGTGCCAAATGCTGGCCCAGGAGCAACACTTTCACTGCACATTGCAGCTCTCCAGGTGAAACACAGCGTTGGGAGCTGCCACCAGAGCTGCCCCAGGCTGCTCCAGCACTTGCAGGAGGCAGGAGCACAGCTCTGTCCTGCCCAGGCCCAGAGACTGCCTTTAATCTGTGCAGGACAAGCTCTGTGGTCACTTGGCAGAGGGCTCTCACTGCCTCCGTGGCCGTGCATGCTCAGGAGAGGTTTCATGCATCCACAGGTTTCTCTCTGTCTTCAGACTGTGATTTGCTTTCATTGCTGCAGGTGCCAATTTTTATATTTGGGGAAGAAAAGCATTTGAAATGACAGCCTATTGTGCTCCTGTGAACTGCAGGGTGCAAGAACACGAGAGGAGTCAAGGAAGTCCAATATGGATGCAAGGGAAGTTTCCCCCAGAGCCAACGTGGCCCTTTGCTCACCACAACACACAAACCCTCCTGACCTGCAGCCCGAGCTGCAAGATCCTGCTTAGCCTGCAAGGTCCCAGCTCACCCCAGCACTTCTTTTCCTCCCTTACTCAGTTGAAGGAAGCACCAGCCCCTTATGAAATTCATCAGCCAAGCACAGAACAACCCCCAGCAACGTTTTGGTTTCTTGCAGAGCTGTGCAGCCTCTGTGTGACATCCCAGTGGTGCTGGTTTGGCATGGGGCAGGTGGAGTCCCTGAAGGACAGGAGGGCTCTTGGCACGTTCCTGTGATTCCCACCAACAAAAGAAACCACAGCACTTAATGTCCTTCAGCCCTTTCTTAGGTTAGTGCCAGCCTTCAGAGAGGGAGAAGAGACCTTCTCTCTACAGACCCTCGGGCAGTGCTGAATCACTGACAGCTGGGAGGCAAATCCAGGCAAAAAAACCCTCCAAAATAAGAATTTTTCCAGACACAGCAGTAATCGACCCCTAGAGAACATGAAAAGCAGAGAGACCTGCACATATATTCTAGACAAACAACACTGACTTTAACAATTGCCTTTGAGGTCTGTTTTTTCACCTCTCAAGTATCTCCTCACCCCTACCACGGTGGAGATCCCCACTCAGCTCCTTTTTTTTGCAACAAAAGTACAAAGACAGACCTCAAAATGCAGTGGTGAGCCAGCCCATGGAAAAGGAAGGCACCCAACACCCACTGCTGGGTGGAGACCTCCCCTGCAGGATGCTATCCTCACCCAGCCACATCCACCTCAACGCCAAGGGGAAAAGCAACCAAAGGTCTCAGGTGATCCTAGAGGACTCTGCCTGGGGAACATCTGCAGCCTGAGGAAGGTCAGAAACACAGTGACTGCTAAAGCTAGGTTTGACCTGCATGCTGGTGACCCATGGCTTTCTCCTGGAGGGAAGGCAGGTCCCTCTCTATGACCTGACAGCTGTTTTCCCACCCAGATGTAGCTGCCATAAAAGGCTGATGCTTTGCAGGTTGGCAGCCAAAAAATAGCTTGCCAACCCTAAAAGCAAAGCTGGCTGAAAGCAAGCAGAGGACATAGTGGACTTCCCAGCTGAACATTTAGCACAAACACAGCCTCAGAGCTCAATTCAAGCCCCCCTGTGCATCCAAAACACTCCTGCCTCCAAGGTGATAAGCTTCAGTCTACACAAAACACTTAAAACCCATTTATTCTGAAGAAGGAGCACCAAAGAGCCCAATTAAACCAGTAAGGACCAGGATGGGGGGCAGAACACCTATAAGGACTATATATTTACATAAATTAGCAGTTTCTTAAACAGTATCCTCTGTTCCAAGTTAAGTGAGGACATGGATGGCACTTTAGACCTCAGCCTTTCAAAGCTTATCTTATTTGTACCCAGATAAGAGTACTAGGTCATCACTTTGGGGGAAAAAAAGGCTTTTCCCTGTTGCCTACTACTGCTTCAGATGTATAATTCAGGGAGATCCATGCATATGATGGCACTGCATCTTGCAAGAGTCCTAAAAAACCAGCACACCAAAGTCCACGGACCTGCTGCAACTGAAAAAAGAGAGAACCCAGGTCTCCTACCACAGAAAATACTGAGCTGGAGCACAGATCAAGGAACAGTTCTGCATCTGTGTTGTTGCAGGTTTGGGTATAATGAAAAATAGAAAAGCTCTGCAGGTAATTGCTGCACTTAAAGAAAGGACTATCCCATGGTGAAATAAATCCCTGGGAAACAGAGTCAGTAGACACCAAAGAGCTGTTCCAAGGAGGGAATGATAAGCATCAAAACACAACACAGCTTCATGGGTTTAGAAAAACTCTAATGGCCAGCCTCCTATTTTGTAATATTGCCAATTAGAGGAAGCATAAATTGTCCTCTGTATGCCAGAGGAATTGTTCAGACAAGCCTTTCACCTAAAGCATTTATGAAACACAGAGATAACAAAAGCATTTACTTTTGTAATACCTCCACGAGTTTGTTTTCACATGTCCAGGTAAGTCATTGTCACTTAGAACAAAGCATTCCAAACAGCTCTTATTAGTAGATTAAAAATAAGAATAACAGTCTCAAAATATGGCCAAATACAACCTCAACCTTCAAAATACTGGGAACAAAATCTAGCTGGGCTGCAGCTCCTTTTGCAGATCACTTACCATGTATGAAGGAAAGATTAGAACCCGCTTGTGTTTGCCACATGGCCACTGTGGGTCATCTAAAAGATTTGGGTCATATTCAACAAAGTCCCCCAGGTCGCTACCTGTAAGACAGTGGTAAACACAAGGAAGGGATTAATTACAAGAAACCTCCAGACTTAATAAAAGTGCCAAAGAAATGAACAGATAATGCACAAGATGATTTTCATAAGAGATTTCTGAAAGGGCCAAAAGGTTTCTTTAAATCTTGAAAACTCTGAAGTATTTCAACACTGACACAGTCTAGAACGTTCAAGAGGAGCTGCAGCTTTTGAATTGCCTGATAAATGTCAATTTAGGGCTCAGCCAGCTCCAAAATTATACAAACCCCCACAATGGCTTCTTATTCCCAGCAACAAGTTCTCATCTGTTTATGCAGGTGTTTTGATTTGTTTCATTTAACTTGCCAAAATATCTTAAGCCTATAGTGCTTTGGCTTCTGTTTTATGTCTGGCTTTGTACACATCACCATCATCTCCAGCCTCCTAAAGGTCACGAGTGCGAGTTTACACCTCCAGCTGACGTGTGGCCACTGCAGGTTTTCCCCAGCAGAGGAAGGTAACGATGAGCCTGACGCAGGAGTGACGATGCCAGTGACAGCCAAGTGCCAGCAGTCTCGGTGACTTAGCTTTCCACCCCCCCTAAGCCAGCTTTGCTGAGCAAACAGGGAACGAGCCGCCTTCCACCCCTGACACGAGAGAGTGGGCCTAATGTAAGCAAAAAAAGGGGCTCAAACACGACACGCGTCCGTCCCTCCCGATCACTGCCCGTCATGAATACGCGTGTGCCACGCGTGTGTCACGTATGAACACGTGTGTGTCCCGCATGAACACGTGTGTGTCACGCGTGTGTCCCGTATGAACACGCGTGTGTCCCGTATGAACACGCGTGTGCCACGCGTGTGTCACGCATGACCACGCGGGCGTGTGCCTCTCGGGTGTCACGTATGAACACGCGTGTGCCAAGCATGAACACGCGTGTGCCACATGTGTGTGCCACATGTGTGCCACGCAAGAACACGCGTGTGCCTCGCGTGTCACGCATGAACACGTGTGTGCAGTGTGCCACGCAAGAACACGCGTGTGCCACGCATGAACACGCTTGTGCCACATGTGTCACGTATGAACACGCGTGTGTCACGTATCAACATGTGTGTGTCACGCGTGTGCCACGCAAGAACACGCGTGTGC